TCAGCTTAGTGTAGGAAGATTGTCCTAGATCATCCAGGTGGATCCGATCTAATAACACAGGCCCTTAAAGGTGGAAAAAGGCAGGAGAGTGGATCAGAGAGATGTGATGTGAGGAGGACTGACCGCTGTTGTTGGATTTGAAGATGGAGGAAGAAGGCTTTGAGCCAAGGAATGTGGTGGCCACTAGCCAGCAAGAAAACAGAGACTTCGTCCTTCAATCACAGGGAATTGAGTTCTGCCAGCAACCCGAATGAGCAAAACATGAATTTTTCCCTAGGGCCTCCAGAAAGTAAGGTGATATCCTAACATCTTTTTTTTTTGGGTCTTGCTCTGTTGCCCAGGGTGGAGTGCAGTGGCATAATCACAGCTCCCTGTAGCCTCCAACTCTTGAACTCAAGCGATCCTCCCTCCTTAGCCTCCCACATAGCTAACACTACAGTTGCATGCCACCATACCCAGCTAGTTTTAAAATTTTTTGTAGAGACAAGGTCTTGCTCCCTTGCCCAGGCTGGTCTCATACTCCTGGCCTCAAGCAATCCTCCCACCTCAGCCTCCCAAAGCACTGGGATTTCAGGCATGAGCCACCAGTGTGCTTGGCCTAAAGCTACCTAGTTTGTAGCTATTTATAATAGTACAGCAGCAATGGAAAACTGAGATAGTTGTCAAGGAGGCAAGAAAATAGGACTTTCATAAGAAAGCAGGCTGTTGTATCAGAAAAGAACTCACTAAAACATGGATTCTCCAAATAGCCCGTTAGTGGAATAATTCAATAAATGTACCAAATTTACCAATTTACGATAACACTGAAAGTAGCCTGTGGATTCTGGAGTACTGTGAGGAATGATGTAGGAAAGGAACCTTCAGAACTATCCCACTGTTCAAATAGCCGTGTGCTATTTCCAGTAATCATGGATGATTTATAAGTTGTAAATAATAATAATAATATCAACTTGATAGCAATTTTCAGAAATCTATATAGCTCACAATCAAGACAAAACTGGTCAAAATATGAAAAAGAAGGTATCTGACAGATTAGAATCACCTAATCTGGATATAGATTCACTATAAATAAGAAATTAACTAAGGGAGTCAAACACTAATTGGCTCCAAAGAGTAGCCCGGAAGATGGGCTAAGCAAGAAAAGGGCAGAAACCATCAGAAGGATTTAAAATAGAAGCTGATATGCCATTGAGAAATAAAAGAAAATCCCAATTGACTAAAGATTGGAATGATAGAAAATGGCACGCAGGAGTCCAAAACAATCCTGTGAATTCCTCACAGGAGAAATGATAAAAATTTAACAATTTAATGGCTAGAAATGCATTGAGGTTAACACACGATCTGAGGAATTAGCAAATGAATGCTAAAAATGCATGTAATTGAATAAATGTAAGAGACATTCATCAGCATACTAAAGAGATCAGAGGAAACAACCCCATCTAATATGAAATTCTGACATTTTGATGTCTAGCAAGGAATACTTGGGATCTGAGGACTTACTAGCAGTTTGTAGAAGAGTTGACAAAAAAGAGTAAACTGTTCCAGGCGGCCAAAAAGGAGTACAGAAATCTAGGAGAGATTACTTTAATGAGCAGTACAATGAGTGCCTTGAATACAACAGACACTAATGATCAATATACAATAGAAATACATAAAATACAAAAATATTAAGGAAGACCAAGCACAGTGGCTCATGCCTGTAATCCCAGCACTTTGGGAGGCCGAGGCAGGTGGATCGCTTGAGGTCAGGAGTTCAAGACTAGCCTGGCCAACATGTTGAAACCCCATCTCTACTAAAAATACAAAAATTAGCTGGGCATGGTGGCACAAACCTGTAATTCCAGCTACTTAGGAGGCTGAGGCAGGAGAATCGCTTGAACCAGTGAGGCAGAGATTGCAGTGAGCTGAGACTGCACCCCTGCACTCTAGCCTGAGCGACAGAGCGAGACTCTGTCTCAAAAAAAAAAAAAAAAGGTATTAAGAAAAGATAACAAGTCAATTGGTTACTAATCCAAAAAATGCTAGACAATTGCTAAGCTAAGAGGGGGACTAAGAAGTGGCAGTAGCACCCATATCACATATTAAATTTTGTTCACTAATTGCTAGGAATAAACTGAGAAACTGTGGAGAAAGTAGCTGAACACTCATAAAAATTTTAAGTGTGGCAACAGAAAATGACATTAAAAAAGAATTCAAAACAAATCAGTAAAAACCGAAAGATTCCCGTTTAAAATGACAACATTCTGGTGTCTAATGAGGAAATACACTTTTTGAATATTAAAGATACCCACACACAAAGCCCCATCATTTCAACAAACTGAGTAATCTGTAATGCCTGCTGTAAGAATAAAATGAAAACCCATCCACTCAGACTTGTTGGTGATCTCCAAAAACCACATGAAAACCTTCCTGCAAAGTAGAAATTGCTTTACAACTATGTTAATCAGTACATTTGTTAAATTATTCATTCTGTTCATTGGTAGTTTGAAGAAGTGTCTTTGGCTTGTTCTGTCTGTTCTGTCACTCGATCTTCCTAACTGGCTATTTTGTGAACTGGTTATTTGATGAATTGATTTTCGGCAAAATGGCTTTAGATCGATTCGGTGTTGGTAAATTCACCCAAAACCACTTCCTCCATGGCAAATGGGAAAGGCAAATAGATTTAAAAAAAAAAAAAAAAAGCTTTCTGGAAAGCAATTTGGCAACCCTTGTTAGAAACTGTAAAAATGCGAATGGGATTCATTGACCAACAATTCTGCTTCAAATAAATTATTTTTAAAACAGAGGCCAGGCATGGTGGCTCACACCTGTAATCCCAGCACTTTGGGAGGCTGAGGCAGGCAGATCACTTGAGGTCAAGAGTTCGAGACCAGACTGGCCAACAAGGTGAAACCCCATCTCTAATAAAAATACAAAAATTAGCCAGGTACGGTCATGCATGCCTGTAGTCCCAGCTATCAGGAGGCTGAGACAGAAGAATCACTGGAATCTGGGAGATGGAGGTTGCAGTGAGCCAAGATCATGCCACTGCACTCCAGCCTAGGTGACAGAGTAAGACTCCATCTCAAAAAAAAAAAAAAAAAGAAAAAAAGAAAGGTTAAAAAAGAATGAATGACAATGTGCAAAAAGATCAGGCTATATGGATTTTGTACTAGAATTATCTAATACAGTAAAATATTAAAGACAAGTAAAAATTTCAATAACAGGTGTTGGTTAAATGGATCAGCGGGCTGTTATGAAGCTTTAAAATTTGTGCTGTGAAGGCATATTTGATGTCTTGAAAAGTTGTTCAAGCATTGTTGTTAAGTTTTTAAAAAGCTGTGAAACAGACTGATACTACTTTAGCAAACACACACAAAAAAAGCCATATGCATGTGACTGAATGGATAAACTCCAAAATATTTAGTTATTTTGGGGTTGGCATTATGGATAATTTTTATTTTCTTCTTTTTGTGTACCTGAATTTCCTAAAATTTCGACATTGAAAATGTATTATTCTTTATAAAAAGAAAAAAGAGTTTTTAATCACTCATTAGCTTAGAAGCCAGGAGACCCTTCCAATGTATATGGACTTAAATAAGGCCTCTCTCCAAGTCTTCATATTTCTCATTTTCCTTGAACTTCACATCTCTTTCCTGGTCTTTCCCTTCCCTTCTTTAAATTTGGTTAGTCGGGGAGAGGGGAGGGATAGCATTAGGAGATATACCTAATGTAAATGACGAGTTAATGGGTGCAGCACACCAACATGGCACATGTATACATATGTAACAAACCTGCACGTTTTGCACATGTACCCTAGAACTTAAAGTACGATACAAAAAAAAAATTGCTTAGTGACTCACTACTTCTAGAAACTCATACCCCATGAACTACAGCATTGCTTGGAGACTGTTTTGAACAGTTACACGTTGTATGCTGACATACAGGGTTTGCATCCTCTAACTATTGAGTGGCAGGCACTTAAGGAGCAAAGGACACCAAAAGGAAGAAGACACTTCTAGAAGTTCGGACTCTAGTGAAAGAGATAGATATTTGATCAGAAATGGCACTGCAATGTGGAAAAACACACTCATAAAAGTATGAGCAAAGTGGTCTAAGATCACAGAGGTCAGCAGTGACTTCTTGAAGAGTTAAGACTGGAGTTGGATCCTGGAGGAGGGAACATGATGAGCCCACAGTTATTGGCTATGACCAGGCCCTGTGGCATAGACTTTACATGCCTTATGTCATATAATTCTCCCAGCAATCATACCAAACATCCTCTCCCCTTCCCAGCTTTTTCTCAAGCAGTTTAGAACACTGAAGTGCAAGAGGGTAAATAACTTGCGCAGGTGCTGTGTAGTCACTCTTTGCCTTGCCCTCTTCTGCTGTCTCTCCCAGAGCACTGGCCTTGCAATCTACACGATCTAGACACCATTGCCAACTGGTTCAGCCAAGTGGGAGGCTGGAGGATGGGAGTTAGGGAGAAACCACAGAAGTTTCTGCTGGTTTCCTCCCAGCTCCAGGTAGCAAATGCAGGTAGCAGCTTCAACAGTGGCTGTTTGCCTCCTTGGTTCCAGCCCCCACAAACCTTGACAGCCCTTCCTCAATGGTCCCAGTTCCCATCAATCCTGGATTCCCAGGTTCTAGTAACCTACCTCCTCCTTTTGTCCCTCCAGTTTAGGCACTGCCTTCCTACATTCCATCTCTGCTCCGCCTCAGCCTCTCCTGCGTGGACTTACAGCTCCACTGCCACCTCCATAACTCTTCCTGATGTTAAAATCCCCGCGTGAACAATCTAGGGTGGCCTGTGTTCCTGAACAGATCCTGACCCATATAGTCACACAGCTAATCAGTGGCTGAACTAGGATATTCATGGCTCTTGGATTCCAAAGTCTTCAAAGATGGTAGCCCATAGTCATCAAATAGTTACTAAGTGTCAAGCTCTTCAAACAGATCATCTTATTTAATCCTCACCACAACCCTACCAAGTGAGTGCTCTTATTATCTCCTATTTACAGGAGAAAAAGCTGAAGCCAAGAAACTTTCCCAAAAGGCACAGCAAGCAAGTTGGAGAAGGAAGAGTGAGACCCAGGAAGTTTGAATCCAGGACCTGCGTTCCTACCTCTTGGCTATCCCAGGTTGGACAGGAAGGAGCAGGGAGATGGGAGAGATTCCTAAGATAGATGAGAGTTAGAAAAAAGACAAGGGGAGCTTTGGACCAGTCTTTGACCTCAGGATTGCAGTTCCTGATCGGTAGTTTGACAGGATAGACCTAGTCACCAATCCCCCCTTTCCTGGTGCCCAACAGCAGTCTCATCATTCTAGGCATCTACGGGAGAAGAGAGTAAAGAAAATATGCCAAGAAATCCAAGGTGCAGTGTTCAATGGCCCTGCCCTTCTCAGCACCTCCCTCTGCTCTTCATCTCCACCCTCCTACTTCCCATGGTTCTCTCTCCTCCATTGGGAAAAAAGCCCATAATCCCCTTGGGAAATCCACCCATCCTTCAGGCTCACGCTGCCTCGGCATTTGCACATCGCAGGGAGTGCAGGTTGCTCTGACTCTAATTAGCAGGTGCTGAGCAGTTTCCACATTTTTGAGTAAATATGTCAAAACACAAAATCCATTCATTCTTTCCTCTCCTCTACCCTTCCCCTCCTCTTGTAAAACACACTTTTCTCTCTTGGCTGCTCTGGAGAAGTGTTTTTCTTCAGCAAGAGTGAAAGTGGCATTAACACAGGGTGTCTGGCAGTTTTACAATCCTTTTCAAATACTCATCTGCCCTCCTGGTCATTTATCCATCTGTTCATTCGTTCATTCATGTGCCTTCCATGAGGCAGGCACTGACTTAGGGCTTTGGGTTTTACTGGGGCCTCTCAAGTATAAGGCTGGCATCAGCAAGGATCCCATAAAGACCCTCCAGGAGATCCCATTATCACCCAGGACCCAGCCAGGGCAATCAGGTACCGTGGAGCCTCAGGGGACTTATGCACTTAATTTCCACCATCTCTCTGGGCCTCCTGCTGGAGTGACTGGAAAACAGCTCTTTAAATCAAGTAGCAGCTGGCTCCCTCCCTGCTGGGCTCTCCTCCCCAGCACCCACTCCCTTTCCCTCAAGTCCGCTGGGTTGGAGAAGCTCAATTTGCAGCCGTTATCTGCCTCTGTCTTTCCCAAACCTCCCCTGCAGCCTTTCTTCCCAATTCCTCTCCCCAAACAAAAGAAACAGGAAGTCGAGAGGGTGGGGCTGCTGTTCAGACCCATCCAGTCCCTGGAGCTTTTCCACAAAGCCTGCTGCCAGATTCCTTTTACAACCTGGGCGCTTGGAAGCATGCTTAGCTTTCCTGGCCAGAATGAGGGACCTCAGAGTGGGCTGGGAGGGAGTGGGGGTGGAATTCCCGTCTGAGTGTTGTTTGTTGTTTAATTTAGGGTGACACAAGAATATAAATCCCATGATTTTGAAGGGCTGGTGGTTCGGTTTCACCAGAAACTCACACAGGTCTCCCTGGCTCTCTTCTTGCAGCCTTCTGAGACTACCTTTAGAGAAGGGAGAGGAAGAGGCCTGGGGGGCTCCAGGTTTGAGTCAACACACCCCATCCAAATCCAGACAAGCCAGCAATTTCGCCTAATTCCACCAACACCTGCTCTTCCTTTGGCTTTGTCAGTAGCCCCCGAAGGCTGCCACCTGCAACAGTCTTAGCCTACCGTTGGTCCAGCCTTCCAGGGCTGACTGAACATCTCCCATGCCCCTAGGACCTCATGGACAAAAAGGGAAAGGAAGTGGTCCCTACCCTTGAGGAGGAGCTCCTGGCTGTAGGAGACAGAGCTGTCTATGAGCCAAGTATTTCAACAGAGAAAATACAGTGTTGGAGTAGGGACGAGGGAAGTATACTATATAAAACAGTATGTGGGGCCACAGAATAGGGGCTGGCAGGGCCTTGGATGCTGCACTATCCCATTCTACTCAGTGATATGAAAACTGAGGCCCAGAGGAGTGAGGCGCCTTGTCCAAGGTCACAGAGCCGGTCAGGGGCAGCACAAGACTCACACTGAAGCCTCCTGGCTTGGAAAGTTAAATGTCCAGGTTGTGAACTATGCCCAGTTGGTCAGTCAGTTCCTCTTCCTCCCCCTCCCCTCACTCTCCTCGGATCCTCCAGCGTTTACCCTCCCTGAGTGGCCGGGCCCCAGGAAAGCAGTTGCTGGAACTATTCGGAGGAGGCAGTGAGCAATGCCAGCAGAATCATTTCCATTAATTTATACTATTTTGCAGCTCCTCCAATCTGCCTGCTCCCTGCTGGTCCTTCCATGTCCTGACTGAGATGGCTGTTCTGTTTGTTTCCATTGTCTGAGAAATAAAATGGTTTTGATTACACCCACGGTCTCTCATGAATGACTGTACTTTGGCTACCCGCAAGGCAAAAGGCACCAGCTGCATCCCTCAACCATGGCTCCTGGAAGAGGCCTGCTTGCCTCTTCCACGGGGGCTTGAGCCTGAGCCAAGGGAGCAGCCCAGACCCCACCCACGTTCACTGCTGATGCGGACTGAGCCTGGAGAGAGGCAGAGCTGTGCAAAGGGTAGCATCTGGGAGGGCCGTCTTCTGTTAGCCTTAAAGGAAGGGGAGGGCAAGGCCAAGGAGAGGAAACTAATGGTTTTAAGGGCATAAGGCAAAACTCAGTCCACAAAGTCAAAGTCTTAGTAGGCTTAGTACCTACTGTGCACCAGACCCTGTTCTCAATGCTGAGGACCGAAGCGGTGAGTGGAGGACAGCAACTCTAGTGCCTCTCGGTGGGAATGTTACTCTAAATCTTTAACAACTGGACCTGCACAGACACCAACCCCTCAGCCACCAAGTAACACGGTCCCAGGGGCTCCCCAACTGGGCCGGGCATTAACCCTTTAGGTGCTGAATCCTAGTCAGGTCTGGGGGGTCCCAGGGAAGGACTGGAGCAGCCAGAATGGTGAAGTCCCAGACAGCAGTTGCTCACCAACCAGCACAGAAGGATTGCAATATTACAGCAATATTAAATATCAGCCATATGAGCAGAGGGTCAGATAAGAAGGTTGGAGATGACTGTGGCAAACTTATCATTAGGGGCAACCACTATTCAGCATCGGCCCATAATTGCCTCGTGGGAGGAAGCCGCCCATTGATTCTGGATCTTCCCATTTTTCAAGAGGAGTCCGATCTGGAGTGTGTATGTGTATGTAGAACTTTTTATTTCAAAACATTTGTTTACATACCCAGACTAGGCCAAAGAAAATGTATCTTTGCCCATATGCCCTCTGAGAGCCCCCAGTTTGAGCCCTCTGGCCTTAGGGTACCAGGAACTGTGCCGAACTTTAACTGCAGTTAATTCCTGACAACCACCCACCAGGTTCTTGTTATTCCCTCCACTTGAAAGAGGAGAAAACTGAAAGTCCGTTTTCTATGGGGTGATGGGAGCCCACAGGGGAACTCATCTGGAACAAGAGAAGGCAGCTGGTTGAACCTAAACCTGCCTGTCTCCAAGGAGGAGAAAAGACCCTCTTGGGTGCAAAAATGTTTCTGTGCTCCAGTCAGCACAGGTCCTGTTGATGGTAGGGGGGAGCTGAGGACAGGTCTGCAGAGGGACTGGCAAGGTTCTAGGGGTGGCTGCGATGGGCCTAGAATGCCTGCAGGAATGGTGGGAAGGGGTGTGAACCTGCATGGAGAAGTGGGAATGGGTTAGGTGTGTTAGAGAGATTCTGGAGTTCATTCTTGTGGGAGGAATGAGTGGACTTGGGTCTTAGTGAGGACTCAGAGACTCCCTTGAGGGGCTGAGGTTTTGTTTTCCATGATCCTGCAGAAAGGTCCGTATGCCACCTTCTCTGCACTGGCCCAGGGAACTGATTGCCAAGTGCGGCCACACGGTACATGCCCCCTTCCAAGATGCCTGCTGCTCCTGGGTTCCAGTCCAGTTCCTTCCCAGGTCCCAGGTAGGGCCACCAGCTGGTAGGTGGGCTCTTGTGATCACTTCAGCAAGACCATGCTCTAGGGACCAGCATGAGAGTGAGGTGGGATTGTGGGGAGGGTGAGGCAGGCAGAAGGACTGCCTGAGGAAGAAGCATGGGGACAGGAGCACACTTGTCTGTAGGAGGACCGGTGAACTGTCCCCCTGTCCCAAAGCACTGGGACTAGTGGAAAGTGAAGACTTAAATGACAGGTTGTGACCAGGTTGAGGGATTCTTAAGGGACAAGGACCAGAGTTGAGATATTTCATTCAGCAGGCAACAGAGAGCCATGGAAGGTTTGCTAGTGGAGTATCTGTCTTAGTTTGGGATGCTATAACAAAATATCATAGACTGAGTGGCTTAAATAACAGACATTTATTTCTCCCAGTTCTGGAGGCTGGGAAATCTGAGATCAGGGTGCCAGCATGGTTGGGTTCTGGTGAGACCTGTCTTTCCAGCTTGCAGACAGCTTCCCTCTTGCTGTATTCTTACATGTCCGAGAGAGCTTTAGTCTCTTCCTCGTCTCATAAGGACACTAATCCCATCATGAAGAATCTACCCACATGACCTCATCTAAACTCAATTACTTCTCAAAGGTCCCACCCTTCCTAATACCATCACATCGGAGGTTAGGATTTCAGCATATGATCCGGGCGTTGGGGGCGGTGCACAAACATTTAGTCCATAATAGTGTCAGACACATTGTGAGGCTAGACGTTAATATCTGAGCTCCTAACTTGTGCTAGCCCCTTTGTGTATCCTTTATCCAGCTTTATATATTTATATACATTTATCTCCATATTCCTCTAATTCTGAGAACAGCCCTGTGAGAAAAATATTAAATAGTTTCACTTTGCATGTAGGGATATTGAGGCTCAGAAATGTCCAACAACATCCCTGAGGTCATATAGCAGCTGGTAAATGACGGATCAGGATTGTAACTGAAATTGGGGGACTTTGTGAAACTAGAGGTCGGAAGAGTAGCTAGAAGTACTATTCGGATATGAATAGTAATATCTGTAACTGCAGTTGAGGCAGGAGAATCACGAGAGGGAATGAATGCTGGAGATCTCAGAGTGGGACCTAGTGGTAATTGATACGGTATGGATGGGGCCGGAGGAAGAAGCCACAGAGGATGGGGCAGGGGAGTGGGGACTGATGGGAACCCTGGCAAAACCATTAGCAATGTAGAGAATTTGGGAGAGAGCTCAGTTTTCAGAAGATAGTCTTACTATGATTTTGGAAATGTTGTGTTAGTTATAGAGGAATGGGAAGTATCATTTTTACTTCCCAGCTTGGCAGTACAGAAAGACAAATTAGAACAGAAACTTCCCAACTTTCTAACTCAGCCACAGCAAAACAAAAACAAAAACAAACAAAAAAGCATGTAACAATATTTGCTCTTCCTCTACATAATGTACTCTGACTTTTCCTATCCTATTCTATTCAATTTCATGGTGGGGGTGAGGGTGGAGAAGGAGAACGCTGGCTGCAACTCATAGAATTGATTTCATGACTCATAAATGGGGAAAGGCCCAAAGTTTGGCTAAGACTTTACCAGAAGCAGGGCGGAGTGGAGCAGCTAGTCCTCATGGTCACCACACACGGACTTTATGAAAGACGGAACCAAGAGAGGAATTGATATTGGCAAGAATGGGAAATGGAGAATATTTAATGTGCAGAGGAATCAAGGAGGGCAGGGCTTCTAAAAGGCCCTTATTTTTATAATGAGGGAATCAGGGACCTTCCAAGGAACCATTTCAGTCAGTGCGGCAGGTGGAAACAGGACTGGAAAATAGGAGTGGGCATAAGGAGATGAAAGAGGGAAGGCTGTTAAAGGCTTGCCTGCATGCAGAGGGGAGAGAGCCAGAAAAGAGGAAGTGATTGAAGGTGTCCCACAGTGAGCTGTGTGGGTACAAGCGCAGGTGGTAATGGACGGAGCCAAGTCCACGTGGCGATGGAAAATCCTGGAATGAGCTGGGACAAAGAGCACTTTGGGAAGGAGGCAGGGTGCTTCTTTCTCTCAGATAGGGAAGGGGAGAGTCTAGGTAAGAATATATATTTACAGAAGTGAAGAGGCAGTGATGGCAAGCAGAAGGGGAAAGATGATGGAATGTGAAAGGCTGACCCCAATTTTCTCAGCAATGTAGAAGCCAAGGTCATCTGCTGAGAACGAGGATGGCAACTTCATGTGAATAAGAAATGTTGGGAACAGCTGCTAGGAAACATCAACAAGTAAAGAAACAAAAGAAAGGCTGAATAGTGGGAGGTCCAGTGTAGATCCCTTGGTCTGTGAAACCTGTGGTTTGCTGGTTTGGAGGGCCTCTGCTCTCTCCCTATGAATACTGTTAAAGCACGGCCCTTTCTTCTCCCCAAGGTTACACATCGATCAAGGGTTCAGGGAATGTTGTTGATTCCCTGCTAAAAGGCCAAAGAACACAAACTATTACATTCTGATTTTCTTAAGAATCTTGCCTCGAGGCTTTCCAAAATAAGCTACTTCTTTTAGATTTCTGATTCTACTTCCAATAAATCTCTTGACAGCACAGCCTAGCCCATCTGGACCAATCAATCAGCTTTTATCATCAAGCTGTATTTTTCTCCACTTCCCCCTTCCTGGGATTTGCAACGCTGCCTGCACATTGGAATAACCTGGGGAAAGTTAAAAATACCAATGCCCGGTCCCACCCCTAGTGATTGACTTAATTGGTCTGGTTTTGTGGCTGGGCATTGGGAAAACCCTCCCAGATAATTTTAATATGCCAGCTAAGAATGAGAACCACTGACCCTTTTGCTGCTCAAAGTGTGATCTGTGAATTAGAAGTACCCACATGAGCCTGGATTCCTGTTTGAAATGCAGAATTTCGGGCTCTACCCCAGATCTGAGAAATCAGAATCTGCAATTCAACAAGGACTCCAGCCTTGCTCTCCACTGAAGCCTGAGAAGCTCTGTGCTAGAGATCTAACCTCTTAAATCCACCCACCCCCTGTAAAATCAAATAGGAGGGTCTCTGAGATCACACCTCCTTATCTCTGAGCAGCCTGGCAAAGAGCTGATGTCTGCATTTCCCTAGAGTGTGAAAACAGGCACCTATCAACCAATCATGAACAAGTGCTTCCTGACATCTCAGCAAGCAGACACTCAGTATTTGAGTGTTGTCTCTTGGGCTTAACAGTCTACAGTGTAGTTAGCTGGAGCATTCTTGTAAGATGACCAACTGTCCTGGTTTGTCAGGGACTGTCCCAATTTTAGCATTGTAAGTCTCACATCTTGGGAAATCTGTCAGTTCTGGGCAAACTAGAATAGTTGGTCACTCTATGTCAAGCAACATTTTGAATTGATTTTAAGCCCACCACCCCCACCCACCCACACACACACAGACACCTCATCAAAGGCAAGC